ACTCTATGTAAGCCGCCCTGAGTAGACGTTGTCTAGAGTGGCGGGGTAAAAATCGAATAAATAAATATATAAATAAATAAAATAAACAGTTTGTAACAACTGAATTAAACATTGAGTGTATGCAAAATAATCATAATGACCATTTGCTACAACAGTATTTAATAATACCACAAATCATCCTGGAATTGCTAAATGAACAGCACCTGTAATAGGACAGGGGACGATTGTCTGCAAGATAGTTCTGGACTTAGGAGATATGAACTTATCCACATTGTGATTTTGTTGTTTAGTCGTTCAGTCGCGTCCGACTCTTCGTGACCCCACGGAGCAGAGCACACCAGGCCTGTCTGTCTTCCACTGCCTCCCGGAGTTGGGTCAGATTCACATTGTGATGCCCTACCGCAAATAGCCAACTTCACTACAATCTTATACACAGAGATGTTTGCTGAGAAGCACACCCTACGGAGTTCAGTGGCATTTACTTGCCATTGTTTAGAAGGTGTGCAGCATCACAGCTAGAGACACAAGTCCTGTACCTATTTACCAGTCACTGAACTGGGTGGTATTTAGGTCTGAGCAGAGACACGTACAAGTTCACACTGTTAGTGCTGCTCAGCTCCGTCTGGAAAAGCAACAGAGCCAAGTGGGCTCTGACTCTGTGCCAAGCACTGCAACGAAACCAACACTGCAATGGAAACATCATGTGTGGGAAGGGTTGGATGAAAGTGCCATTGGCAAACGATACTGTTTCCAAACCAAGCCTTGGGATGCCAACGTCAGAAGGTAAAACCCCTGGCGAACCCGGCAACCACAGCCTAGCCATGAGACCAAAACACTTGGCAGAAGGCTGTAAGCCCTGAGATATACAACATCTGCTTAACCATTTCAAATTATGTACACCAGCAAACTATACTACAAAGGAAAATCCCTTGTCCTGCCATTTAAGGGGTTCCTACAGAGGTTTTCTCTATGGGAACTATTTCCACCGTTCACCTCTAGCTGGAATGATGGGCATTGTCTCCTAATTCATTTTGCAAGGGATTTTGGACACGGTGTGATTTCACAGGAAGGTGGCAGAAAATCTACTCTCATAGGATCATTGAGTGAAATAAATTTTTACCTCCCAATGAAAAGATAACCGTCACTTTCTTGGAGGCAACTGAATTGAATCAAATGTTTATCTATTGGGGGGGTGCGGGAGGCATTTGAGCTTCTTTTAGGGAGGGTGAAGGGAAGGGTTCAGAGAACAACATATTGGACACTTGGGAACCTCTTCAGCCAGTTGCTTCAGGATGTCTATAATACCGCTGAACACAGAACCAATATTATTCCCCCTCACACCCAACTGACCACAATTTGACAAGTACAGTATGTTCTAGATGCTCCCCTCATGATGCTGTTTCCCATGAAAAGTCAAGTGTCTGGGCAATGGCGCCTTGGAGGCAACAAAGCAAAGGGCCTTGGGTGGCTTGCCACCTCCCCCCTCAAAGCCATCCACCACCTCTTTCCTCCAGGCTTGACTGGCTCGGGTTTCAGAAGGGTCAGAAAAGGAGAACCTGAATTCAGTGTCCAGAAAACAAAAACACAGGACTAGCCCCACTTTTAATCCCGGCCAGAGAAGCAGACCCCTCGAAATGACCAGGCCACATCCCAATTCCCACCGATGTCAATGAATGTCCTCCAGTTGGGACTAGGATTGGATTCAGCCCAGGGAGGCCAGACCAAGGAGGGAGGAGAATGCTGCCCCCCTTCCTCCGCCACCACCACCATCACCACCATCATCACCACCACCACCTGGCTTCCCATCATCTCCCTGCCTGAGCACTTTCCTCTCTCCCGGGGACAAGGATAAAACCGCGCCTCGCCTCCGGACCCATCCAAGGCCAGGCGCAGGATGCCTTCCTTCCCCCTTCTTTGTTCCCAAGAAGAAGCCCGGCTCTCCGGGGCTGCGCGCTGCCTTCCCCGGGCGAGACCAGCAGGAGGAGGAGGAGGAGGAGGAGGAGGAGAGCCCGGGACCAGGGCCGGGGAGGGGGGGATGCGGGCGGCGGGCAAGGCTCTGGCGCTCCCGGTCCTTCCCGAGGGCTGAGCCAGGACCCCGGCCAGGCAGGGGAAGGAAGCCCCCGAAAAGCACTTACTTCTTCCCAGGCCCTCCGGGGCCCAGGCGGTCTCTCCCACCGCCCCGTAGCGCCTCGGCGGCTTCTCGGCGTCCCCGCCGGCCGAGATGGACCGCTTCAACTCCATGCTGTCGCCGCCGCCGCTCTCGGGGCCCCCGCGCCCTTGATTCCTCTTTGCTTTATGCGGAGCGGCTCTCCCTTGGGTGCCCTGTCTTTTGTCCTAGGAATCCATCCCAGCTCGGGGGCGGGGGCGGGGGGGGAGAGAAAAGAAAGAAAACAAAGGCAGCAGCTGGTGACGAACAGCCCGGGGTCCCCTCCCTCCCTCC